TGGGTTATTATATGGATAATATTTTATTTAATGATAAGTATGGTACCATTTTTATGGATATAAATTAGAATTCCTTTGTAAAATAAAGGATGAAAACGAATGATTTCGACTATCAATATATAATAATTGCATTAAAACCATTATTTGTACATTTCTAAATATTACTATAATAATTTTTACTAAAAAAAGTCGGACAGGGTGCATCTATTGTAGMATTCTAAAAATGTACTAAGTGGASCTAGAAAAATCTYGCTTCCTAAAATATATTCTTAGTGACAGACGAGGTAGTATTTCRTTACGCAAGATTATAGTATTGAGAAAATCAAATAATGTAGATACCAACAATTAGCATATTCTTATATATAATTTACTAAGACCCAGTACTCGCGGACTCGATGAGGACACCACCATTATAATTTTTAAGTTTTTAAATAATACCAAATCGTGCAACTAAATATACATATATAACATTGTAACTAATTTACCGCCGATATTAATAAATAATAATAATAATAATAATAATAATATAGTTTAATCATATGGTAAGGAATATAATAATTATGTATTTAAAAGTGTAGTAATGTAGCTATTACAAGGGAAAGGTAAAATTTGAAATCAGTACTACAAAAGGAAAGTTAAATAATATGATAAAGTATTGTACCTATTGGATTACAGTCTCGTAGGGGTATACCTATTATATCGTCGTTATCTAAATTTGTTTAATTTACATTTTATAAATTTATATTATACAGTAATAATCATGATAACTTTACATCATATAATTTTTTAGACTTATAAGTTCTTATCAATGTATCGTAGAATGGCACGAAAAGCTTAAAAATATCGCCCAAATATTTTGAAAATTTAAATATTTCAAGTGAAGTAAAACATTATATAAATTTATCATAATACGTAGTGTTGACCATTTTTAAGTCCCAAAAAATACTATTTGCTTAAATACAAAAATCTAAATGTTTTATTTAAATATAGAATTTYAAAATTTAAACATAAAAGTTTATATAAAAAAATTTGCACATTTTTTGTGTAGAATTATAGTATATTTTTTGTTATTGCTAGATTTAATGTTGCCCTCTGCTGCAGGGTAGATTTTAATACAAATAGGRAATCTAGCATTACTATCCACTAAGATAGAAACTCTCATCTGCGATAAGAATCTCTTAGTTGGGTCAAGAAATAAGAAATGTGTAGGTACTGTACTAGGTAGTAAGGTCTAGGATTTTAATCAGCGATAATTTAGGTCTATAYGAGTATTTTGAGTTCCCGAGTTCTATCGTCAGCATAAAAAATTCGCCTGTCGCGCCATTCGTTTGTTCATGAAAATACGATATTGATTATACTATGATTATCACGAAGCGGCGTTCAAAATAAAATGCTGATTGATCGAAAAAGTTTATAAATATAATTATGTTATGATCGTGCAACAGTATAGGTACGTGTTTTTGACCATGGTCCATGAATATTTTCCAGATAGTACGATTAACGATATTAATACCTATTTCGTATTAGACTAGCTTTTATGGTCTTGCATCGAACTGATGACTTGAAATCGTATATTGCTCATAATATACCTACATGAAAACATCCATGCAGGACCCAATTAGTGTTCCAATACTAGTAATTGTTCAGTATTTTCTAGTGATGCCTGGAACCCAACTCAGATCTGAACAGATCGRTGGATCTAAACAGCCTTCGAATATTAAATTGTATAATAATATTATTGTTTCGAATTCATGCGGGGCCAATAACACAATATTTAATTTATCAAACTTTTAATAACATGTTATTCGTTGAAACATTTTATACACTATACATTAAAAAAAAAAAAAACATTCTCCAGCACCCACATAATACTATAATAGTACATACAGGTAACTCTGGTAACTAATATTAAAGTATTCACTACTTCTCTGGGATTAACGTTCGTAAGTTCGTATATATCGCGCACATGTAGAGTTTAAAGGCCGTATCCGACGCCGCAGAGTGTGATGATGGTATAATAATATGATTATTATTACACGAGTGCCGTTGTCGCAGCCGCGTGGGTTGCGTGAGGGTGGGGTGGGGTGGATTGTTAATTTAAATTTCAATCGTCCCGGATGATTTCATGCGGTCGACGACGGTGCAAAGCGTATCAGTACGTCATGTACATACTACGTAATATTTTATTATGCAATATATGTATAGTGGCTGGTATATATATAGTCTGTAGCTGAGCTGTAGTCGAGTATTTAGCCGTGTTGTACATACATAATAATAATAATATTACGTATTATAAATTATAACGGTGGTCAGTGTCAGCCGATGTGATTTCGACGACGATAATAATAATAATAACACGTCACTGAGAATAAAATAATATTATACACGCTCAGTGGCGGCGGCTGCGGAAATCTCCAGCAGCGGTCTTGTGGACGCGTCACGCCGTTACAAGCGTTACATTATACGGCGTTATCGCCGGTCTCCAGCATCCGGACGCGGCGGCGGCAGATCGTGCGAGCCGGCGCGCGCGTCACCGTTACAGCCGCCGTCGTCGTTCGCCAGCATCCGGCGAGCCACCGTACAACGGGCGGCAGCAACACGCGCTGTGGTGCGCGGGTGACGTGGTGCCGTGGCTCTCGCGGTGTGGCGGCCGTTGCGACTTGCGACTAAGGTCGTGCGGYGAGGCGGTTTGTCGGCCGGCGGGTGGGTGGAAGTGGCGGCAGACACGTAGCCCACCGCCGACGCCCCACCTCGCCACCACGGGCACGGCGCGTCGCCGAGTGCCGCGAGTACCACAGTACCACCATTCGGCAGTCGTTCGCATGACGCATACCGCGCGCCGTCGCCGTTGTCGTCTGTCGTCGTTGTTGTTCGCCAATCCGTTCGGTCGACAGTCGTTCGGTTTCGTCATAATAACTCACACTCACCTACACACGTCCGCGGGTCGACGACGACAGTGCCTTTTACCCGCCGGCCGCCGCCGATATTTAAAAAAAAAAAAATAATTATTATTATTATTATAATATTACCACGATTACAACGACTGTACCACGGTCGGCGTGTTCCGTTATCGTCGGGTGTCCAGTCCTCGGCGTGCGTGTGTGTTGCGCGTGTGATGGCATTGTGTGTTGTTTGTCAGTGACCGTGTCACGTTACTCCTTTACTAGTTTGTGACTATATAAGTTATTATAAGGTGTTATGCGGGTCGGTTTTTAATTTTAAATTTTTTTTCGCCGTTTCCGTCGGGTCGGTTGTAACTCCAGGATAAGAGAGAGTGAGTGACAGTCAGACGAAATAATATTAATAATTAAAAACACCAACATAAAATTAAAAAAAAAGAAACGAATTTCATTCGAATTTAATACGTATACACCGCGGCGGACATAGAAGCCGCACGAAACGTGCGATGACGGCACCGACGTGGGAAACGTCGTGGTCATCGTGGTCGTGGTCGTCGATGTCGATGTCGATGTCGATGCCGCCACCGACGCCACTGCAGTCACAGTCACCGCTGCCGCCGTCACCGGCTAGACGACCGGTTTGAACCAGTTTGACGGCGCGTGAAAACTAAAATTGTTGTTACAATCGCCCGGCCGTCAAGTTCGGCACTGAGCACGCGAGATGGCTCCTTTGGACGTGCCCCGGGCACTGCTGGACGGCGAAAAAGTGGTGAAATGGGACGACGTGAGTAAATCGTTTAAAACGCGGAATAAAGTTAAAATTAGATTAGTTAGTACCTCGATCGCTGTGACAAAGCGTAGGTACATTGAGGTCCGCGAAGACGTTCTTCAGGAAGGACTTATAATAATAGATAATATATAATATTACATTATAATAACAAAGTGTGTAAATAAAGTATACAATGTTATATTGTCAATATATAAACCGATTGACGTCATGTTTATATAATAATATTATTGTAATAGTAGTAATTAATAATATGTGTCTATTATTTTATCATGAACCGAAACCCGTATTGATAACGTAACGGTAGTGTGCGAGCAACAAGTAGTGCCTTCATGTTAGAACGATATACRGATACAGAGATATTACTTATTAGTTATTACTGTAACAAGCACATTATAAGTAGTAGTAGTAACAGAGTATTGTGGTAAACAGTAGTAGCAGTATAATAAAGTATTAACATTATTATTATTATTATTAATTGAGTAAACCGCAATAGTGGTAATAACATGGTGATTAAACTTTTCATACTAGTGATGGGTAACTCGTGTTATAGTTACTTATATATATATATATATATATAGAACGAACGTAGAACGTATGCACTCAGTATTATAATGTATACTGTATTAATGTATTATACTACACATAATATAGTGTAAATCCGATGTTAATGTACCTATATAATGGCTATATTATAGTGTTTTCCGAACGCGATATTATTTACGTAATGGTTACGAKATGATAATAGGATATTCGAGAGAATAGAAAGTATATCGAAACATGTTACGATGTTATTATTATGTACACCATACCGTTGATGACATTTATAGTTCTGTAGGTCATATTGGCTCGGTGAAAAATTATAACAATAATTTCACACGAATAAACGATTAAAAAGTCAACGCGTGAAAGTGAGTGGGTGTRGGAACAATAATTTACTGTTTTCACGGAAAAATTTTTTTTGAAATGAAAAGCATGTATACTTGAGAAAAATTCTTACGTACATACTACTCTTGTACACGAGCTTGTACACATTATAATGTTTAAATATGTATAATAATATGATATAATAGGTAAAATAAACACAGAATAAATATAATAGTGTATGCAGTGAGTTTATTGTATAAACCTTGGTAGGTATTTCATTGGTGCTGTGTTAAAATTTTTTACACGCAATGTATATTTTTACATAGAATACATAGAATGTAAAATTATTATTTTAGTTTGTCGTAATGTATAATAATAATAATAATAATAATTGTAATATAAAATATAAGTACTTAACATAGTGCCCGTGATAATGGCCGGAGACAGTATTTAAATTTATGCTTACACTTAAATATTCTCGAAAAGCTTTTTAAACACTCTGTTTTACTTAAAGTTGACGTGGTATCCGACATTCTGTTTTACTATATCAAGTTCGAGGATTATAATATTATATATCAGATTTAGTTAGGTATTAGTGCAAAGGCTTACATAGGTTTTTTTTAAGGTGGTGGGTACAATTTTAAAACTCAATAAATAAACAAAAAAATACTTAAAACTTAAAATCTAATTAAAATAATGCCAATGAACAAGTTAAACCAAAARATCTTATCCCAGTAGGTACCTAAAAATATTTTTAAAACTCTTCCTTTGTTGTTTTTTTTTTATCATGAATTCTATCATTAAATTAAAATGGCTTTGCTTAATACGTGGAATTTCAACTTTAAAATTTACAACCCAACAACATTCTTTAATCCCAGAATACTATTACAATTTTTCAGCATTTTTCTAAATATATATATTTTAATTTTACTGTTTTTTACCCGAATAAAGTTTGATTTAAATAATATAGTATTGTTGGTAGTTACTGAAACATTTTGAGGTTTTAGCCTTTATTGAGTACTTGTCCATTATATCAACGTTTTATGCGGATTTAACTGTAAATAATGTTCAAGTACAATTAGTTTTAAATAACATTTGTAGAGGCGTGATAAACGTAGAGATAAAGAGCTTGATAAATTTACGTGAACATAGTGTCCAGTGTTATATCCAGATTTTTTTTGGTGGGGGAGGATTGAATATAAATTTTTGTTAAATTTTATCTGAAAATGATTTATTATTAATGAAAATGTTTTTATAATTGAACTATTCAAAAATTTTTTGGAAGCTTACAACTCCCAAACCCTCCCTGGATGTGCCACTTATAKTGTCGTAATATGTTTTAATAAGTTATGCTCAAGTTTAAATTATTTACCTGTTTCAAAATTGATATGTACTTACCTAATATGCTCTATGTTAAGTAAAAAATTATTTTGAGCTCATAATATATTTATTAAACAAATACTTTCTACTCTTGTACTTAAAATAAATACGTACATTTAAGTAAATATTGTACCTAATCTTTGGGGACGTGTTTCATTGGACCAAAATTGATAAGGACTGCAATATATATAATTTATACATTCCTATAATAATACTCGTTTCGCCGGAATTTCGTCGTACTGCAGTACTAAACAACACTTACTATTTCGTATTACAGGTACTATTCCAYTATCACCGTATTCCYCGTGTAAACCGTGAGTTTAACACGTTATCATAATATTTTTGAAATAGATTTAATTATTAATAAACTTCGACGTGTAATTACACGTTATCCACAGGTRGATACTATAATAATATGACGTAGTTCTTAAGACAACGCCGCGTTCTCATCCTATTGTCTCCATCTAAGTATACAACACTGAACACAGCAAATTTTATGTTCACAATAATCAATTTTATTCTTTATTTTTAAAATTAGAGTGAATCAATCTATCAAGTAATGATAATTTTAAATTTACAAAAATGTGTTTTAAAATGATTATATTACTTGCTAAACAAGTTTATTTAGTATTTACCTCGGTATTTATCCTAATTTTATTTTGAAAATACCAAAGTAAAATGGATTATTGTGATCGAAAATTTGTGATGTCAGTTAGTTTGATTGAGAGAGAACGCATGTAGATGTTGCGTTCTCTTAAGTAGGTATTAGTGAACACTTTTTGCCCAAACAATTTAATTTAATAAATAACACAACAATTTTGAATACTAATCACGAGGCTTACACAAACTTTAGTTTTGGTGACCGTGGTGATGCAGCCACGTGATCTGCGGTATTTTGCGATTTTTTTTTGGAGGGGCAAAACACAAAATCCAAAGATTCCAAAGTGGACAAGAGACTCTTGTCTCCGTGTCTTACAAATRGACAACATACCTAATTTGCATTCCACAGGAGAACCATTATTGTGGAATAAACTTTAATATTAGAGTGAATTGACCTATCATTAAACAATATTAAGGTGAAAATATTAWTTCTATTATCAAGTTGTCGTGTAGTGGTGTGCAGTATCAGTATAGACGAAATTCCTGCGAAACGAGTGGTTTATGTATCTTACGATTATTTCCGGTCTGATGTAATGCGTCGTCCATTTCCCAAAGAATACATACGTGCCAAGGTAGGAAATGCACACATCATTTCAACTCTTTTATTCACAGGTTCTTTATTTTAATAGACAGTAGTTATTTATTACAATTAACTTACTAAACTACCGATCTAAAAAATAGGTAATATATAAGTGTGATATAAATATATATTATATATTATAACATACAAAAACAAGGGTTATATAAAAAACATTTCATATATTATATTATTAAAACTAATAATTATTACAATCGAAATTATGTTGATTGTTGTTAAAAAAAAATTAACAAAGRGTGATGCAAACGCCCYTTCTAGATGATATTAATAGGATATTATATTTTCTATTTGAAGGCTAAGGCTTGAATTGTCGAAAGAATACTTCAAAAATATTCTTATTTTTTGATTGGAAATTAAGTTTAGCTCGTATTTTATACGTTTCTTAGCCAAATAAAAAAAAAACTTTATATTCTAAAAACTTCCTAAAATATGGTAAAAYATAATATTTGCCAATGTTCCAACTTCCATCAGTTTATTAAATGAACACGACATGGAAAAATAAAATTAACACTGCATCTAGGCGATATCGTTAATTTAAAAACCATATAGGGTCTTGAAAAATTATTTAGTATTAAATAGGTTGGTAAAAAATATGATATAAAATGTTTTATGGTTCTAGGTTCTAGATCGACTTAATTAATAACTAGTACACGTTTGTTTTTAGATTTTAAGTAAAACAAAGAATAAGTAACTTTTTCAACATGGTCGTCAATTTCTTTAAAATTTCCAAAAATGTTTAATGTTTATTTTGAAATGTTTTATTGCATTAAATTATTTATAAATATATTATACAATAAATGAATATGAATGATGGGTTGGTGAAAAATTGTATTTACTTTTACTAAATCCTTTTGTATATAAAAAGGTTGTAACTTGTAGGTATCAACACAGAGAAAAATAAACTATTAATGATTTAACAAATAAATCAATCTAAAACTCTCTTTTATAGTTCCTAATATTTATAATACTTACATTTCTATTAAACACATATAAAATATTTGTTAAAGCATTTTAATAAATAAAATTAATTTTGCTGATTATAAAATATAATACTATGCTTATTATTTATAAAGTAAATACATTTTAAGTTAAATTAAATAAAAGTTTAGAGAACCCTTTTATTTATCAACTCACAAGTTGTATAATATTATTTAATTTTATACTTTAATTTTTTTTTTTATTTGAGCCTGTGCTGCTATTATAAATTGAAATTTCGTTTTCCTTATCCGTGAGAAAATAAACATATTGTCTTTAAGGTAGGATATGAAGGTATATAGGTACTACATGGTATTTTATTACTCGTAAATGGTCAAAAATATTTACTTCTGCGATACTTTTCTGAAATTGGATAGGTAAATTTCATTTTCATTTAATAGAATTTTTATATTTATTAAAAAAAATAATATTTTATTTGAATTTATAATATTATYGTTGGGGCTTGTGAATTTGTGATGCAATATTACAATTTAAAATAACGATTTTCTATACTCCG